ACCATTTAGGTATTTTTCTAGAAATTATTCAAATTTGAAACAGATGTGGCAGACTCTGTGGTATATTTTATTTCGAGTTCAAATGGATAGATCAAATCAACGTAGGAATGAAAATTTATATTGTTTATAGATAAAAAGTCGTCGATATATCTGAATGTTGAATTGAAGGCCACAGCAAGAGGCTTATTCTTTTCATGTAGAATTTTTGAATTAAATTCTGCTTCATATGAATACAAAAATATGCCTGCTTATAACGGGTTACAATTAGTAATCATGGGAATTCCGATAGATTGTTGGAAGACCTGATCTCCAAAAACTACATAGATATTGTCAATTAGAAACTCAAGCATCTTTTTAATATCAACTTTAAAGTACTTGTGTGTACAATCAGAATATTTTTTAACAAAATAATTTTGCAATTGACCAATAACAAGATAAGTAAATTTACGAGTTCCATTTTTATTGAAAAAGCAGCCGTCTATGATGTCAAAAAGCCAGGTCTTAAATTTATCATAGGGAATGGTTGTACAAAGTGCCGAAAAGTCATACGTTCGATATGACTATATTTATAGTTTTTGTTTGTACAAATTTTAAAAAATCAAACATCACGACACAACATCTCTTGATTTTCAATTGTATTTTGAGTACATACTTACAGTCAAGTAGGATGCGAACACAGTTACTTCTATAACAATCCGTAAAACTATATTTATAGTTGTATAGAAGTAACTGTATCCGTATCCTACTTAAAGGACATCGCATGATCTTTCAAAAATCGTAATGTTATGAAAACATCTTATCTAATCTTGTTTATTAAAATACTGAATACAATAAACGTTGTTGAAAGCACATTTTAAGAGATATTGAGAGTTGAAATTCAAATACAGGAATATGAATAGTTCAGTCGGATTTCGGCGAAATACTGCTCTGACATCACAGACGACAATTCAGTGATAGAGAGATGAGAATGTGCACACTATTTACGGAGTTATCAACGATAAATGCAGCTTAATTATGAAAAATGCTAAAAAAAATTCCTAAAGTGCTTTTTAATTACCATAGAAACATTAACTAATTCTAAGGTATAAGGCTTTTGAAATATTTTCTTTTTTTATTCCAAACATTTAGAATCTGTAGCTCTGATTACGGCAATATTTCGTGATCAGAAAATTATTTTTCAAGACCGCCATTCTTTACAAAACATAAGTAAATAATTGTTCTGCTAAAAGCTAAGAATAACAGTTATATAATATTAAATGTGTGATTCAAATAAGTTAATACATGTGATAAGATGACAAATCAAATTGTAATGTGATGGCGAGTTTCTTTGTCTTCGCCGCGTTTCCTTCGATATCGCCGCTGCTGTTTTTACAATTTTTACAACAGAATTTTTTTTAATGTTTTCTTGCTGACAGTTCTAAAATTTAAGGATTGATATTCAATTTCATATCGATAAAATCGGTGATTTGGTCGTCAACAACGCAGAAAATTCAGGTTGTTTCGCGTATATTTTAGTAAGATTAACGTGAAGAGCTGATCAGCCACTGTCGCCTTTGACGTCACAGGGTCACGTGATCGCTATCTAATTAACTTAAATTTTAAGTTCAGGGTTTACTTTTGAGTCAATAATTGGTTCATTACCGAGGTTTATCCGCAGTAAAAACACAAAATTTATAAAATGTGGTCATAAAGAACGTTTTACCCTTTTAATTTCAAATAATTAAGATACATGCGATAATTAAGTCCTATAACATAACTGTAAACTGTATCCTACTTGACTGTAAGTATGCATTTTAAATACAATTTAAAATCAAGAGGTGTCGTGAAGTTTGATTTTTAAAAACATGTACAAACTAAAAACAAAGCAAAGGAGAAAAATGACTTTAAACTTTATAATATTATATGGTTAATTTAACAAAAGATAAGCATGTATTTCATTGAGAATAATGTAATAAATTATTTACTAAATTTTGTTTGTGTAGCTATTGAAATACAGATACCGCCTTCTTTTATGACCCTTTAATAATTCAGAAAAGCCTTTATCATATATTTTTTGTAGGAAAAGTTCCCAATATATAAAACCAGGACTTAATATTGCATGGACTCTTAATAAAACTGTTATTTTGATTTTGATTCAGGGGTGTGATAATATAATTATGTAAATTACTGCTTGATATATGTATGGTTAAAATGTAGAATAACGAAGAACGAAAGCACAAACATGTATGCAATTACATGTAATTCAATTGCGCAAATCCACTGTGTGATGCTGATACCGATTCTTTGGATGAGACCGTATAAACGAGATCCCACGTCGCAGAGGTGCTTGCCCGAGAAAGATTACTCATTGCTCAAAGGCTGTAAGTAGCGAGTACAGGTCTAAATTTGCAGCCCTGGTGGCGTCTCAATATGAGTGAGAAAAAAGGGACGTTAAACAAACACACAATTTTAAGCTAAAATATTTTTTGCATACAAAGCAGAACTAAGATAATATAGAAAATATGTGAACAATAAATACTAAACCAGTACAAATCTTGTTTAAAACACAACGAAAGGTTATACATGTACATAATTTTGTTTAAAACAAATACTCGAAACAAGAAGAAAAATAATATTTGCTGATTAAAAAACTATATTTTGTATGATTTAAACTTAAACTTTTCTGCACAGCAGACAACAAAATTGGCAGAGGAAAACATATCAAACTCCACTGTAAAAATTATAGCAATTCAATCAAATAATAGTGGTAGAGAAAAAAAGAGGGTATCACAGACAAGTTTAACAATTTTTACAATCCCCAGTGTTCAATGTACACTATCATTAAACCGCTTAGGAGGAGCTGAACTTTCTGATTGGTCAATCCCACATACATGCATGCTAAACGCAAGTTAACATATATCCAGACTCATAATTACGAACATTAGTGACTTGGAATAAAGGATTTGAAACCCGAGTTGAAACTTCATTCCAAAGGAAGGAACTATCGGGGAAAAATGCCATTATAGCTATCACATAGAAATCAGTCAACAGGCCTGGGTTGCTCTGCAACTACGATCTGATAATTTCTTAAGAAAATAAATCTTTTAAAAAATGTGCTGATCTTTCCCCTTCCCGCTAGAGGTCAGTTACTCTGTTTTATTAAAATGAGACCAGAGATTAGCTAGAGTGTTATATTGATAAGGTTGCCTAGTATGGTACGTATATCATTATGGAGACCATAGGTCAACTTTCGTAATTTATTACCATATATGATTATTTCATATATCTTTAAAATATCAGTAAAAAAAAAACGAGGGGTGTGATCCCCCTTCCACCACTAGATCCACGCATGCGAAGACAGAGGTCACCTACTCTGTTATATTTATGAGGATCGAGTCCATAGTTTAGCTAGAGTGTTATATTGATACGACCGCCTTATGAGGTACATCATTAGGGAGACCGGAGGTCAGCTAATGTAATGCATTCCCATATAAACTATGCCATTTATCTTAAAATACATCAGTCAATGTTGATTTTATATCCCCCCTGTTGTATCTTTCCTAATATTAGTTGATTATTGTTTCAAAGAAATGCATTTTTATTCTACTTTCACTTTTGCGGTTGTGATGCACTATTTTTTATAGCGGAGTAAACATGTTTGATGGTTGTGAATGAGCAGGTGAGCTGAGGTCCTAGTGTACGTTTTATCCTCCTGCAATCCCGGTCCAAGACTCAAAATTGTATTGACTGATAGTAAAACTGATATTCTGATTTTGATCAAAAAGTGTTTTTTATATAGATCTACAGTTGATGAATAGATGAAATTCTAGAAAGCATTATGTCAGAGAAAATCATTTTGAACAACCTCCCTTTTAGTGTATTGTCTTGGTCCGTAAGCACACTAACCCTGTAACCGTGACACCGAGCAAAACACTTCCTGGAACAGCAGCAGAGATGATGATTAAATAGGCGTTCGAGAAAGGTACGACATCTTGAGCAGTTACAGAAGCGACGTTCGTGCCTTGAAAATTGTTCATATACATGTATCCTTATTTTACAGTAGTTTGCATTAGATAAGTCTCAAGTTATATTGTTTTAAAACCAGTTCTAAAATAAGATAAAAACTTACCATTTACTGGGTTGGACTCAGTGACTTTTCTGTTGATGCACTGGCTGATTATACATGATTTTAATGATACTAAAAGTAAAACGAAAGGAACTTTGTAAAATGTAATTAAAAAACTCTTTAAAAACTGACGTATAACTTTTAAATCCGTGAGATCGAATGCTTCTACATTTACCTTGTGTTTTTTTCTTAATGGTACACGCAACATACATATTTTTAGAACTGTATCCACAAGCATAATTTTTCTTGCCCTCTAGCCTCAAAATTACATCAGTGTCGTATTTGATGTGTATTTTTATGTAGTTATCTTCCCTTGATGTCTGTTTTATAACACACTCTCCAGAGCATTTCTTTATATTGCTCAAAGAAATATTCACTTTAAGATGAAGGAAATGCACTTGTTATCATTTATAAATTCTGCAACTTATTCAAATCTTTATGCACTGTTACAATACATGTATGATATATTTTAAGACGGAATTTGGTCACTTACTTTGAAAACCGGAGAGACATGTTGTATCGCTAGTTATCTCTCTGTAAAAATCTGTGGCTCTTTCAATGCACTGTCTGAAGTATATGCAATAAATTCCTTGGCTTCAAACCATCTTATTTTCTTTAAAATGTAAAATTATCTCCCTATATACAATGGTTATTAACCGTCACATAATAAGCATTATTGTCGTAGAAATATGTGTATATAAAAAATCAAACAATACTTACAGTTTGGAAACGTTGGTCACAGGATGGCACAGGACAGATAAAACTACCAATTTTCCAACAACTGTATCAAAAAAACTATTCATCATCATCTTTTTTTTTAATTGGCATACTAATAAATTTATCATTGACATTCTGTATTAATGAAATAGTTAATTCTTTTGTGAAAAACTCCTACCATTTTTCATCTTTGTTTTTCCTCAACTTAACCTTAGATCCTTATAGAAATGAAATATTTAAGTTATAATATAGAAATGGTTATACAACTTAAGAAATGCTTTTATGATATATATGTATGATAAACTTATCGTACTCATAATCATGCGGAAGGTTTTTTCAGGTTTGACTCACAATGAAATGAATTATTGTTATCAAATTTTATATGATTACCTGCATTGTAAGAATAAGTAGAAAAGGACATACATGTACATTGTATGTATGCGAGTCATGAAAATTTTACTAAAATTAACAACCCATGCCATCATATCCCCTACAATGACAATAAAATAACGCTTTATTGTTTATATTTACACCAGATTTAATGATTTATCATGTGTAAAACATCCTTAATAGAAATAGCAGTACTATCGCACAAGCTCAGCAAGTGACTCAAATATGACAGTGACATGAATTGTCATTTACATGTACGAAATAGTTTCCAAAGGTAGAGTGTATACAATTTCAATATATAAGTTCCAAAATATGTTTCATTCTGCAGTCAATTGTATAAATAACTACATGTATGTTGTTATACGGTATAGTGTAAAGAATGTTTTACATCCTTTTTTTAATTTCCAGTTTGGCTGACATACATCATATAGAAGATATGTCATATCACTTTATAAAGAGGACTTAAAAGACATTCTTTTCTGCAGTCCAGTGTCTTTTCCTTTTGGAAATAAATATTGTATTAAGCGAAATATTACACAATTAAATATAGAGTGTTGAAATTAAACTAAACAAAATTATTTTAAATTGATTTTTTTATATAATGAAAATAATAAATTTTTATGAATTCTTCATGTTCATATTAATCTTTCATATTCTAAATGTGCACATTATTGCAATTGCTTAGATGACATCACGCAGCTTTTGGAATACTGTTCTTTCTTATTAAAAGAAATCCTTTAAATGATATAAATTATATTTGCAAAAAAAAAAATTAAACCCTCGTGAATTTTATTTAATGAACTCTCATATGATGCCTTTGAAAAAATGCCATCAAATGTATAATGCAAAAATTTTTCATGATAATAAATACCACTTAAAAAAACTCGGGCATTATATTTACTATTCCTATACACATTATAATTAATATGAAGGCTATATGAAGTATAATCTTGTATTACATGTATACTGCGATCTTATAAAAATGAAACGTTAACTAAGAATTTTTTTTTCAAGAGTAAAATATGCAAGTGAGCAATCGGGGGATTTTTCTCTACCATTCAATTCTCTAGTGTTTACCTCCAACCCTTCCTGTTGATGTGTATTACCTTTAATATTTCCATCATCTTTAGCATTTTCATCAGATAAGGTATTTTCAAGAGGATCTTCATTACAATATGATTCCTGCATGGTTGAATAATGTCTTTGTCTTCTCTCAGGTTTGTCTTCGCGTAAATGGTTATAAACACCATCATCATGAATATCTTCATACACCGAAATCGTCTTTAATTGCTGCTGAGATGGTTGGATGAGTTCATTGGAAGTGTCCTTAAATTTAAAAAAAAATGGAAAAATTTCAGTAGTTCTAGTAGAAGCTGTTTACTATCATGTAACACTCTAAGTTCTATTAGGCTACTGAACACGAACGCATTTCGATAAAATGTACCGGTGTAGTAGGAAAGGATTTCCCCCATACCAAGCCCCCCTCCCCGAAATCTGTTCTCTAGAGTAGGATTTACCCCATAGGGAAATCGCACACTAGATCCAAATTCCCCCCCCCCCTTTTTTCTAATTTTTTCCATCGTTCGTTCCCAGAGTAGGATTTTCCCGAAAATCAAATGATTTTTTTAAAATGAAAATTTGAGTGTTTTTGATTCAAGAATTATTCAAATTTAGTTTGAAATCTTAAAATAAATAGTTCAAAGCATTGTTTCTGAACGCAATATTTTACCTCATAAGAAATTTTAAAAAGTCATGCAAAAAATCGTAAAACGAGATGTCCCGACACCTTTCTTGGCACAACGACACCTGTTTGTTAAAAATTAAAAAAAAAATTAGAGGCCACTTTGAATTATTTAATTTATTTGCCCTCTACTGACCCAGTATCTATTATTGAAAGGATCTACATACTATTTTGTGAGTACTTAAATCAAGTAGTTCTTCTGTATGTCCCCTCGAGGCCTCGACCCCATCGGTGCCATATTTGATTTGAAAGCAAAGAGGAAATTTTTGTAAAATTTCAAACTATATAAGAAATTGATGCAGTTTCATGGCAACGATAACTATTTTGGATATCAACACCAGAAACTTGGAGAGACACTTACACATCAATATTATGTACATGTATTTAAAAACAATTGGAGAAAAAAATCCATTTAAAATTAAATTCTTCTTTTTTGTTTCCATGGCTAAAGTTTAAATGTTTGTCCAACCGATTACATTAGACCATAACTTTTTTTGGCAGAAAGTAGTTTGACAAGATGAAAAAAAGACTTTGATGCTTCAAAAAAATCAATTAGGTAAATTTTAATTCTCATACTTTATATCTTTCAAAGAAATGTCGCCATTTTTAAAATTTTAAATGTAGAATGCACAACTATATTTTTGATTATAATTTTTATAAAGTTTCATTTAGATTGTCTACTGCGAGAACACCTGTGGGAAAATTATATACTGGAACGCAAAAGAAACGCAACATCTTATTTTAGGGGGAACTATTATATATAGGATATAATTTTGTATCTAAAAAGTAAGGGCATCTTCAACTTTGTAAATATCGGTAATTTAACGGTTGAATGATTTCCATACCATTACCGGAAGTTAAGTTTGAGTCCGCTTAACTGAAATCAAAAATTACATGTTTAACAAAACATTTGGCAATAGTATGGAGTTTTAAGGGTTTGTATCTGTTCATCATAAGTAATGCAGGAATATTCCGAGAAATAAATTCTCCTTTCTTTTCCGTAAGCGATGCCAAGGCTTCCTGAAAATGACTTAAGTACGCATTTCCATTGTTCTAGCTGGAAAATATCAAAATAAAGGTGATGGGGAGTTGCAGATGCAAATATGCACTACATCACGCCTCAAGAGGCTCTTACTTATCATTAGCATGAATGACAGTCCTTGGACCGGAAGTCCAAGGGTTACTACACTGCGCTAGGCTAGAGAAAATTCGACCTTATCATCTGAAAAATGGGCATTTTAAAATGGCAAAGAATATTTCTTTCGTTCAGATCTTGAGATTGATGAACCTACTGCATCGTAGAAATCAAGCTGCAATTGTTGTGCATGGCAGTCTTGCACGCTGTAATTGAATAGCCGGGGTGGGGTGTTTTAACAGTCACGTGTTACTTTCTAAAGTTAAAAGATAATCATTAAACATTTTTATCAAATCTCTGATGTTTTTAAATCGAGTTTAACCTCACTGTATTCATTTTTGAAAATCATTAAATAAAAAATTCAAATATTAGTAGATTACTGTTTGTTGCGTTTCTTTTGAGTTTCAGTATAGAAGGATCAGTTGTACCAATGTGTCACCCCTCCCCTCTCATATACATGTACAGCGTGCTTCAAATTATATGTTGCGTTTTGCATTTACAAATTGATAAACACAAGAAAAAGATACAGACAAGTGTTTTCATGAATTTATTACATGTATCCAATAGATTCATTGTACAATTACCAAAATACCAAAATATTTAACACTGAACGAAATCTCAGCCATTAATGAATATCAGCGAAATTTGTAAATTGCCTCATTTTTGTTAGGTTTAATTTCACAACTTACATGATTTAAATGATCACCTGTTTCAACTACCGCGGTACTATAGAAAAATTGCTTCTTGAAATTTTTATAACCGTTTTCAAAATATTTGCTTAGACACTCCTAATTTGAGTTTTATGTTCTTTTTGAGCTTATTCAGTATCTTCGATGTATGATTTTATACAACATTCTTAATTAATCCCCACAGAAAAACGCCTTAGAATGTATCGGGTTGATCAATCTCATAAACGGCAAAACCGATCCGTTTATGAGATTGATCAAAGCAGTATATTCCAGTAGAGAGTCAGTAACAAAAACTAAAAGATGATTTTTTTCTAGAGGATCATATTGTGAGAGTTGATCAATAGATGAGGGGGGGGGGGGGTCACCTACAAAAAAATAACAAAGAAAAACATCAACTGCTAAAAGTCGGGAGGGTTAAAATCTTCCTCTAAATTGTTGGGAAATTTTGTAATGCAATAATATGGCACACTTTCAATCCTGCTGCAAACTTCTGAAACGCACACTTTGTCATACCTGTGGTTAGAGGTAGAATTTATTATGTGTGTATAAAAGAGTTAGGCGCAGACGATTTATGACGATTAATCTGAGATCTTTTTTGGAAATCTGGTAGAAGAGGTTGTTCCATAACAAAGATGCCTGGGGAAAATGTGTTATGGCTTTGTTTTAAACCAGATTACGATATTGGGAGGAAAATACCTTCAAATTTGTCGATTTTTGAACATCTCCTGTAATATTTTGTACCGAAGTAATACTATGACTTTTCCCAAGCACATTTTGGATACACAAGGATACGATGAGTTTATTTACATGACAAAATGTTAATAATATTTGTGTTAATCTACTGCGCCGAAGCGATTTATGTAAAACAATTGAAAAAAATATAAATGATCGTCACTTGATCGACAAAGTCGTGATGTCAAGACAAATAACTGAAAAACGCATACATGTTCTAAGAAAAACCGTCCCAGTCATTTTCATATACTAAGGACCAGAAAACATGTCCATGTGTATCAAACATTTATGACTTATTCGTTTCTGTGGTGAATTCAAGAGCATATTTCTCGTTTGAAGTCATCTTTTCGTAAGTTTTACGGTCGATACAATGACCTTGTCAGTACATACAACCTATCAATGAGTCATATGCTGACAGAGGTTTTTCATACTTATTGTTAGGCCATTATTTATACACTGAACTGTCTACGGATTTTTCACGTTTTTTTTTTCGATCAAGACAAGGAGCACACGG